ATTCCCATAGCTTCGGCTATGTGTAAAAGGCGGGTTCGAATTCCATTCGAAAGGCTCGATGGAATGCGATGGACAACTTTGAAGGCACTATTTCTATCCAATTAGTGACCGCTATCAACTAAATGTGCCAAAACAGAACTCCTTATACATTTTATTTGGCCTTTTCCGAACCATGAAGGGATATGCTCATTAGTGCGTTTGTTGAGCTGTCTGGTTGTTCGCCCTATACAGCTCTTTCTACAGGAGCAACTAAATTTGTAGATACTTAAAATAGCTAGTAATAGAAATGGTTAAGTCACCTCGATTGTATTAGAGTATTGTAATTCATCGGTAGTAGAACGCTCACACAACACGCATGTGGTTCGATATTCCATTCCTAGCTGACTCACACCTAGAACTCATCTAGTTTACTAGCCTTTAGCAAGTCTGAGGAAGAGGGATAGTTGGGCGCGAGGCTTCATAGTAGTATGGTGAAACCACAGCCGAGGAAACGTGTTTGGCAAAATTGGCGGGGAAAGGAAATCCAGTTGAGCTTGACTCTAGTCCAACATCGCAGGAAAACATGGTGATATCTCAATGCTTCAGTGCCCGGAGTCAGTGAAATACCACTGCTGTCAGTGTTTCTTTACTTATTCAGTGAAACACGAACGGAATGGTATTTCTGTACAAAGCACATAATGGCATACATGGTTTAACGCTGCATGTGTAGATGTCAAGGTCATACCAGGTGAGTCAAGGTGCAGATTACAGCAAGTGATAGTTTTATTAAATTTATTTCCCTGCATGCTTCTAGGAAGAACTTATAACTCTTTATTATCAACTAACTGTAATTTGCTAATTTTAGAGAAGCTAAGACTTCGTTATTTTTCACTTAGTGTGAATAAAACTCTTTATCAGTCGTCGGCTTTATCTAGATAAAAGCCCAGTGTAACTCCTGACACACATTTAAACGTTAGACATTTTCGGATATCATGTGACGGGTGGATATCGAGGGTGTAATTGCGTCTCTCATCAATTTAAGATCGGCGTCAGTGATTCAGCGGTAGAATATTCGACAACCGCAAATGTGGTCCGAGTTTCGATCACTGTCTGACGCACTCCTTAACCTCGTTTAGATAGTAGTAAGCCCAATAAAGAGGTAAGGTTCTGAGTGAGGATGGTAACCCCACTCTGCAAGAAATAAACATCACCACTACTGAAACTCCAAAACTTAAAGCTTGACTCCCTGTGTTCCACTCGGGACTCAAAGGATTAAAATAATAAAATAACCACTTGGATATTCAATGGAAGGTAAATACTGATGGTATGTAACATTTAGTGATACTCAAACAGACACTCCAGAACAGTGATGAATTTTGAGATAACTAAAATGTGCAGATGTCTACTGGGACTGCCTTCTTCTATACAGTTGAGTAATTGGCTCACGAACATGAGATAGAAAATAGATTTGTCAAGGCATTATATGACCGAAAACCTCAACTCATTTTAAGTGGAACGCTTCGGAAAAACAATGCATATAATACCTTGTATTTAGCAAGCGATATCGGAGATTCACATGTTACTCAATACAAGTTCTAGGCAGATGTTTTGATTTTTAGTTAAGAATTTCTGTGAGCTAGGCATCAAACATAAAAACAAGCCAGGGACGGCAAAATTTTGTAGTGAGCAGATTTTCATCCATTGACTGGCTGGTGATTTACTGGCTTTTGTTCATACTCTTTACCAATGTGTAACTTTGCCGGTTTCTGTAATTAATGAAAACTATTCTAGATATTCCATTATTGAACCCGAATAGCTCAGTGGTAACGTCTCTGAATGCATCACTGGGTGACGCTGGTCCGAATCTCAGAAGGGACATGAGTTCCTTCAGGGTTGCAGATGTACTCGCATTGGCGGTACATTTTGGGTCCCAATGGCTTAATGGTATACGAGCTCGCCTTGTAACCAGGAGGTCCTGGGTTCGAACCCCAGTGGGTGCGTACTGATGAAGAGTCCCAAACTAGGACGAAACAGCTGTCCAGTACTCCCAGGTTTTTGTGCGTCGGTGGCACATGGTCCAGGGTTCGATCCTCGGCCGACGCACTCCTAAAACTCGCTAAGCCAGTAATAAGACTGGTAGAGAGGAAAGTTTGGGCATGAGGCTAACAACCCCATCCTGTAAAAATAAACACTGCTACATAAACTTCAAGCCTCTAGCTTGAAGCCCAATGTTCCACTGGGAACGTGAAGGAAAAAAATCTAGATGTAATTTGTGAACTTTCTAAATAAATAAAAATATACTTCTTTCCTTTGATAAATGACTTAGAAATAGATTTCTGAAGTTCTGAGTATAAGCTTCCACCGATGCTAACAATCAGTTGGACTTATTACATAATTACTCGCCAATAACAATGAGTGACAGCGACTGGTAAATGGAATTCGGAAGATTTAAACTGTGCAATTTTAGCGGCATTTGGAAGAATGATTGAAAACCGTGGAAGATCTAAAAACAAGTACCATATGGCTGTGAACAGCTTTCTTGGTTTTAAATGGTCCCGATATTTACGTCAGCTTTGCATTATAAACTGTCTTAAGTGAGTTAAATGAGTACAAATCTTTTAACTGGACTAGTTACACTATTTACTTGTAAGTAAACATTAACTTCTGTAGGCAGTGGCAGTGACACGTATTCTACAAAGACCACAGTTTCCATTAAACTTCAGTTCATTTATGAATTTACCTAAATACCAGGAAATTATGAATGATAAATATGTTTTGGATTATCTAAACTTCTATAAAACACAAAATAATCGAGCAAAGAATATTCTTTTCGATAAATTCCTCTTCCAGGCTCTACAATCATATATATATTTATATACAGAGAATATTTTAAATTATTAGTTAATAACAATATTAGCGTTTTTTTTAAAATAATATCGATTTGTAAAGTACGATCAATGCTATTGCAGTTCATTAAAGATGCTTAAATTATAATAATAATAGAGATATAACAGCGAATAGAATATCAACTAAAATTAGGGAAATTTCACAAAAATTCTGGATTATTATATCTTTATTATTATTATTATTATTATAATGTAGAGCCTGGAAGAGGAATTTATCGAAAAGAATATTCTTTGCTCGATTATTTTGTGTTTTATAGATGTCTGAATGAATATTTTTGCAATATCTAAACTTCAACAATTCTATGTAGCCAGAAGAAAACATTTTTAAGAGCTGAAATTCGTATTCACTTGTTTATTCGTAACTTGCTGTAATTCGACAAAAATGTGTAAAAAAGCTCCAAACCCAACAGGTGATAATTTCATGTAACCTGAGCGACCACTGACTTAATATTTATTGAATTCAAACTGAAATATAACAGATCAGTATACTATCTAACTTCACTGGTGACCACCAGTAAAAGGCTCATCGAAATATAAACGCAGTAATGTTAGCTTCCTTTGAAATGTAAAAGTTTCTTCAGCCAGTTGTTTGCAGGATCTTATAATTATTTGAAAACACTAGCCGAAAATATATGACTTTTGTTTCCTCACAGGTTACATCGTTTGGCAAATCATATAATTTTTTAGTGTCAAGGTCAAGAGTATTGGAATTTGCCTACCCATCTAGTATTTCTTCAGATCAATAATAATTATTTTTGCATTATTGAAAATATTAAAAAACTTTCTGTGTATAATAAGCGGTGGCCTAAATAAATGCTATTCCAGTAAAAAACTGTTATTTTGTAAACTGCTTTAGTATTATTATTTATTGTTCCCTTGGGTTCCTAGTGGAACATAGGGCATTACTAGTTATCTGCAAAATAAATAAATATCAGTCTAATCCACAAATGGGCATGATAACTATATTCCACCTAGTATAACACATATTAAGTGCTGTCATCTATTAAAAGAGATATAAGTATAGTTGATTATATTTAAATCTTTGTGGTCTCAAAGGTATACAGTAGCACTTTGAATCCAATGTTGAATGGTTGTTGGTAAACAATAGGGTACTATAAACTCTAATTATGCACACATTAGAGGCTTCTACTAAAGTAATGAAATGAGTTGTTGGCTTTTACGCATTACTATGAGTGGGTTTTCCGGCCATTTTACTTAGGATAACAAAAACGAAGCTGCATAAAACGGCAGACTGAATATGATTTAATGCTGATTTTTCTACTCATTGTGGACACAAATAAACATTTCTGATGAATCAGGTTTAAAAATGTTTCTTGTCTCCCGAAATTCACATTATCAGAGGCTGACTAAAGCACAGAAAGGAGAAGGATTAACATTACTGAATAACGTATTTCTATGGTACTGTGAAAATTAAAGAAAAATTGGCATGTGTTCCAGTGAATTTGTTCTGTCTGTGAAAAAATATTTTTTTTCAGCTGATTTATTCGGCTGATTTATGCGTGCAGCAGCTAAAGATAAGTAGCTGAGACAGTTAAAGGTATCGTTTCTTGAAGCTCCTTACATATTCATCAAAAATAAATTACTAAGACTTGTACAACCAAACTCGCGTATTATTTCTATTGGGAATCGAAATGGTCTACCCTGCCTCCTTGACCTACGGAACAAAGTGAAGCCGAGTCAATGTTTTTGTGTAGATCATCCGGCAGTCTTTATACACCTATCTACTATCATGACTTTCCATTTCAGATATGTTGACTACTCTATGTAAATAAGACACAGCCACTGTCTCCTATAAAATCATAAACGCGAGTTATAGAAACGAACTCAGCTAAAAGGAATATTAGGCCAAGGAAGATATGCAACACTTAAGTGTAAAGCCGTATAACACATATCTTGGTGACAATAAAATCAAATATATATATATATATATATATATACATAAACTTCATATTTTGATTTCTGAAAATTCCGAAGTGTATACTGCAACTACTTTTTCTTTTTATGATTTACAATTTCAACTTGTATTGCAAAACTTCAGGTAGACAAGACATATAAATATGAAAAATGAAATGAACAGTAAACACTTCAACTTACAATTTTACAATGAATGAGTGATTCAACTGCATTAATATGGATTTCTCGTTTTTGACATGTTCTACTTGTTTTAATCTGACCAATTCTTCAATGATTAGTATTTTTAGTGCATAATATTGCTGCGAACATTTATCGTGAACTACGATGACACGACCGAATGTTCCAGTTCCTAAATAGAAGAAGAAAAAATATATAAGAAAACTTGTTCATTATTTGAAGAAAGTGAGTAGTCTATGCATACAAATTTATAAAAATAATGAATAAATTCCAACGAATAACAATATGAAATTCAGTCTATTTCTAGTAACAAGCTTATGGATCATAATCACACAAAAAACTCAAAACACTAAAAGCTGAAAAACACACATTTTTCATTGGGTGATTCATAATATACTTATTTTGATAGCTGATAATCCTAAAATTCAGTCCTCAGTTTCAAATTATTTAAGATCCTAGTTAACTAGTCTACCTGCAGAAATTTGCATTTGGCAATGAATAAACCAAATTAATTACTTGTTCATGACTGACTGTGCAGATGTTTTTAAGAGGAACAGGATTGGAACTGATAACACACTAGTCGAAAGTTCCGTATGAAAATCAGTACGGTGATTAGTACAACCTGACTAAACCACGAACTGAAGTTGAATGCTGGCTGTTGACCATTACGTTAATGTATCCTCGAAATGTCCACAACTCACCGCATAATAACTTAGAGATTTATTCTTAAATAAGATTATATTTTAATGACTGTTATTTAATTTATTTATTATTATTTGTATACGATGGTGATGGATTATAACGACTAAACTGTTTAGCGTGTAAATTCTATCTAAATTTAAATTTTTTATTTTATGAAGAAAAAAGCACGCACATCTTTATAGAAATATCACAGTATTCAGTATCTCACAGCTTTCTCAGATAATTTTTGCTTACAACAGTGATGAATTTTAAGACCTTTACATAAGAACATAAAACTCAGAAAATCCTTAAAAAAATTAAAGAAGGTCAAAGAATTTTAAAGTAGTCTAAGCAGATTATGAAGAATATGATAATTTTTGACAAATGCATACACTCCCATATTTTGAACTATTCTACTTTTCTCTTCTCTAACTTAAAGTTTATACAATCAAACTTTTATTTTAGTTTAACCACAGCCTAGTTCAATATAAACTCGTACAAATATCTTTAAGGACTAAAAGGATATTCTTTGCTCAATTATTTTGTGCTTTATAGATATCTGAATCAATATTTTTGCTATAATAAAAGATTTGTTGCCCATTTTTGTGCTACTATAGAAACAAATTTGTGGAAAGATTTTTTAGTACTTTTTAAAGTTTGATTGTCTTTACATAGTTGGATTAAATCTTGTACTAATCAGTCACCGCTGGATGACTCTGGTTTCTGAGAGGGTGATAGAGATAAGAAAGCACACCGATATTTTAAATGCATAGTTTATTGGTAGTGTAAGTAAGAAAATCAAAACTGAAGGCTAAAATTGGTGGATGAAGAAAGTTTGAATATTTAAAAAAATAAAAATAAGGAAGTGAGTAAACAAAAAAAGACTGATTTATTTTTGTACCTTTCATGGCTAGAGTAAAAAAGGGGTTATGCTAACTTCCTTTCGAATAGGCTGTTTTCTTCAAATACTTACTGAATCAATAACAAGAATATGATTACATATCATATTGCTTCGTTGATGGTAACTACCAGTGGGATTTAGGTTGTGCATTTCGTACTGTTTAGGACTAATCATCTGGATGTGACTGCATTCTCAATGAATGGTGTTCCCACCGAGACTTGAACCCAGCATCAATAGCTTCAAACCCCAAGGTTTCACGCATTTCATCATGTCGATTTACAAACGTTATCGAAGCGTCCGTACTAGGAGCCAACACGTTAGCAGGTACTGATAATTTCAGTCTAACATAATCAATCAGTGGGAAATGCACATTAACTTAAATAAATAATCTATCATCAACACATTGTATTTGCTTGTTGATTGCTATCAAATAAACTTATTTTCTAAAAAACAGTTGGAAAGTTAGTGTTTGATTATACATTGAATTTTTTTGGACCCTACCTTAATTTTTATTTCGGAATCTTGAAAAAATAGAACAAAATAGCTTCACTCACTTGTAAATACAAATTTTATTTAGTGAGGACAAATACTGTCTGCTAAACATGAGAAATGCATGATACTTTTCGAAGTAAATATATCTCATGTAAAACACAAACATTTATCTGAAACTATCAATATCCACATGGATTATCATTTGATACAGAAGGGATTGCGCACTATTTTAAGAAGGAAAACACTGGATATTATAGTTGCACTAATTATATATTAAAGTACTGAGATAATTCTTCATCACTTTTTATGGTTACTTTTATTACTTTGTTACTTATATTGTTATCTTCTACACTTTAGGAAGATAAGATTATTTATCTATTTAACTAAAATCATGTGCTACGAAAATGAAATGAACTTGGTAGCAAACAAAGAAAAGTAAAATGAATATATTAAGAAACATTTGTTACAGTAATAGAATGTAATGTCGTTTCAATTTTTTTACTGGATATGTCAAACCGTGAAATAGCATATCAAATATGACTCCATAAGTTTGAAATGTGTTTTTTTTATAGTTTTAATTCTTTTCATTCATTTATGGTAGGGATAGTAGAATTTATCCAATATGTGATATCTGTGTTAGATAATCTTCATTGCATATTTTCCAAAAATAAAGATTCTGTAATCATTCTCCACTCTAGCATGTTAGATTTTACAAGGCAAACTTTATCCCACCTTAAAGCATGTTTGTTTATAACTACATGCGCTACTGCAACCGATCTGTTTTCTAGGTTTCTGTGTCCCTATAAACTAATTACCCGAGTTTAATAATTTCACTGCATAATCATTACTCGGTATTAGACTGTCTGAAGAGTACGTGCAACGGGAATCGTTCAGTACCCTTACAATAAATGAATGTAAGAAACTGTAAGAAACCAAGTTTCACACTTGAGAAAAATCAATTGTATTTGAAACTCTATTCAGTGAATAATACTGTTTCGTAGTATGACATATCCAACAAACGAATTAATGGGATAAAAAAAGGTGATACATCATCACTGCCAGCCACCGATAGCCTACTGACTTACCTTTATGGACAATGATGATGGGTTTAATCAGTAATGTAATAGTTTACATATTTATTCACCTATCACTTAGTTCACTTAGGTATATTTTAAAAGCTAAAATTTATTACGAGTAATTAAAAATCTTTCCTAATAACTTATTTTATTAAGTTATTTTTCAAAGTAGTAAATATGTAAACCTGAGTCTCACATTAGAGATAATAAAAGTCACTCACTGGGATATATGTACGCTTGGATGATGAGTTTGGTGTACGAAGGAACGTGCCTCATAAGCTCGATATCTAGTCAACAATATCTAGGAGTAATTGTCATCTGTTTTTGACCTACGTCATATATCATTTATTGATTAAGTGAAGAACAGCATTACATAATATTGTAATGTCAGTCTAGTTACTAAACAAAAGTACAATATCAAAACACAAGCTTGCAAACAATTTTTTGCACCTATTAAATTTTTAAGCAGTACAGTTCCTTATTGCAATATCTGTCAACTTCCTGTCGACTAATACGCCACAAAATCTCTACTAAAAGTTAGATTTGTAATAAACTAGTTTATAAATTAAAAGTCAATCTGAACGAAGAATATTCTTTTCAATAATTTCTCTTCAGGTTCTTACAATTATAAAATATAATATTTGTTGTCGTTACAATAAGGCCAGTTATGCGGCAGATGTTGTGCAAAAGTTAGGTGTGCACCTATTGAATAGGTGATTACTTTGAACACTTTTCATTTAAAACTCAATGATACTCTAGGTACTTTATCTTCATATAACAGTGCTCTGTTCGCGTTGCATTAGAACTTTTCTGCTCATTATATTAGTAAAATTATATGTACATAATTTAACTTCACATAGAAGCTTAAAAAGCAAGGAGGAACACTAATTCTCGAAAAAGATTTCTTAACATAACTTCTTCGGTTAAACTAAATGTCATCTTGTTTTCAAAACGGTAACCTTAGTTCAAAGTCAGATATAAAAACTGTTTAAATTATACAAAAAGCTCTACTCTCAGGTGAAAGTTATGATTTTCTCACATGCAGTGTGAATTTTTCTTTGATTATCAACTTTTCACCAATGAACAACACTACTGCATCACCACCAAATTAATTTGAAGAAATTATTTTTATATAAAGGGTAACATAGATAAATATCTCCAAACCATTAAAAATTATTTCGTAACAATCGGAAGTAGAGCTTAAATTTACTCATTTGTATAATCTGATTTATTTGTCAGTATTCATCAATATTTGATAGAATAGAATATCTAAGGTTACCAGCACGAACTATTATTCATCGATATCAAATTATACATATATGAAACTACTAGACAAATGCTTGCTTTTTTCACTAATATGTGGATGCCAGTATATATAATACAAAAGAATAGATACATTCTACTGAAGTTATGGAAATGAGATGTCAGCGGGCCACCTAAAATATCACGACGAAACTACTCCAATGTATTATACTGGTTGTCTCTGTATGCTTTACCAATCTCAGTGAAATAAATAGTATGATGATTTGGAATATTGTAAAATTTCTGATGTTGGTATTAGGCTTTGATCCAATGAACAGATACCTGGTGATGAACCTATCACCACGTGATTATATTATCCTTCAATATTGTAGTTTGGCCCACCATACCAATTGATCATACAAAACAGTAATGGAGCTTCTCTCCTAATTATCTATTTTAATGAGGTCTGCCAATCTGCATAGCTCCGATTCATCAGTCTGATCCCTTAACTTGACCCTGCAGTCATTATTTATTATTTGAGCGTTTAAACTCTTTTGTATCTTAAAGTCCTCAAGTCAAAAGGTTTCTTTCTGAATATATTTTTAACATTTAAGAAAAACACTGGTCGAAAATGAGCGAACACTAACTTATAATTAAAAAAGGTAAGTCAAAACTCAAAGATAAAATCATACTTTCTGTGTTGGAAAACATGCAGTGATCATGTGGTCGCTTCCATTCTGAAGAGAAGAGTCTCGTGCCGCTTGATCAGAATTTTGAGGTGCCTAGGGTAGGCGTTATTTCCAGCAAAAAAAGTTCTTTATTTACTAACATTGGTCTATTAATATCACAGCGATTATCATATACCTGTTCACCACTACATGTATTTGCCAGTCCACGTAGATTCCTCGTATTATGTTCAAGGCACATTCCTCTAAGAGATTGCAAAGAGATAGGAGTGAATTTATAAAATGTGGAATAACCAAACAACCTACCACAAATGACTGCTTAATCTCAACAAAGTTCTTTTTAAGTAACCTTCAAAATGGAAATTTATCATCGAAAACTACTAAATAAATGCTTTCTTTACTTTGAAGGGATTTAGCTATCTTAATTACAATGCCAGAAATCTTCAAATAAAACTTTTACTCAACCTCTCCTACATTTATATTTTTGACCCTTGGGGTTTTAATTACTTCATTCTTTTACTTTTTCATTCTGATTATTCCCAATCTAATACCACTCCTACATAGTTCCAGCGGCGATCTTCATTTTTAAAAAATCATATTTATCACCTATTTAACAATTTTACATAATTCCACTTCATAACTTTTGACAACTTACATGTCTGTTAACACAGAATATGACAGTGGTAATAGCAAGCTTATCTTCAGAAAATGAACTTTAGTGTTTGCGATTGATACGATATTTTGATTTTTCTTTACTAACATTTATTTTACCAAAATAGTTAGAATTTGAATCTAAGGTAACTAACCTATTGTTATTTGTTTTCCAAGATGAATGAATTAAGTGCCATACTTTCTCTGTAATTCTAAACAAAACCATCAGTGTTATTCTCAAGAAAAAGACAGCTTTCCAAATTTCTTTTTGGAGAAATAACTATTTACTCTTGTGACTTTTATTTTATCAAACGATCAAATATCAAGTTGACACAGTGATCACTTAGAATAAAAATTATAACAAAAAATGCAGCAACAATCAAACAATGTAATCACTGAAACAGGTAGTTATTCTAACCAATAACGAGTTTCAGTAGCTCATATTTTTAAGGATGGCACTGATAATGTTGTGTAGAACGATACAAGCTTTGAAACCAGATCAATGAAATTAGAAGACAAGGAAAGACGAAATCGTTCATGTCACGATTATCGTTTCATAACACTTTTAAGAAATGTTATTCAATATAAATCTTCTCCATACATACAGAAATCAGTCTTCATGAAACGGATTATTATTAATGCGAAATAGAAAGTTTAGTCTTCTTTTTAATGCCATACAGTATAACATTACATCAATGGATGCGATATTTTCTGCTTATTGAGGACTGAATTTTCTTTGATAGATTGTCAACTGTATTGCAGTGTCTCTAACCGATATCAGCTTATGATGAAATCCTGAAACCAATCAAATCCCTGCAAGCCAACACTTGAATATCAATCTGGTGCTCACTAGCGATTGTCTCCATTCAAGTAGGTAGTTACCTGGGTTCTAGTGACAGGTCGCAACCAGTGGGGTACAGCAGGTCGGGTGTGAGGACAAATAATCGCCGAGGATATTTCCTAGTGGTCACGCCGCTTTATGAATTGGCAGAAGTTGGAGATCATGGACCACTGGGTCGGTTCCTAGTGGCTTAGTGTTCTACAGGCTCATTTGTAACCAGAAGGTCCTGGGTTCAAACCCTAGAGGCGGCTGTGTCCTGAACTAGGACGAAACAGTTGTCCAGTGCTCCCAAGTTTTCGACTGGTCTCTAACTGCTGCCAGTTCATGATGGAATCCTGAAACCAATTAAATCTCTGCAAGCCAACACTTGAAAGTAAAAAGCGCAGTTCAAACTTATCATTCCGTTTAATTCATATTTTGGTATGACAGTTGAACATAGAAAGATATTTCAGAGTTAATTATTATTTTATCGGATGCATCGGTACAAATGAAGTCAACCCAGCTATAGTACAAACAAAACACTATATTATTTAGTGACATTGCAATTTTATGACCATACCATTCAGTTGAATTTGTGTCTGATAATAAATACATTTAGCATAATACCAGAAAAACTGTTTATAACGGTCATCACCTCAAAATCTGATGCATAAAGATAGGCTACTATCATGTATTACTGAAGCATTCCTTGTTTATTGCCTTATTATTTTCACTGAACTGGTTTTGGTTACAGATACTGTGTTGTGATCCTGTCGATTAGACATATTTTAAAATCAATCAGCTATACAAAGCTTTTAAATCTGTTTAGAAACATTTTATGTTGGCTGATAGTATGACAAAATATGCACTTATCCTAGTAACATTCTATTCTTTTTTAGCATTTAAACATCAAGGGAAGTAGTTTTCACAAGCTAAACACAACCAAAATAAATTTCTCTTTTCTTTCTATATCCTGATCCTTTTACGTCTTTACAAACCACTTTAATTCCATTGTGTCACTGAAATAACTCTTTCGTGTTACTTAGTAATAAATATAATAGGAGTGCTGTTAAGTGTAAATAGTTGATATAAATACTATTGTACATCTCTAGAAAATGAAAATATTGTAACGTGCATTTTCTTTATTGGATTACCTTTTAATTTTACAAATTAAATAGCAGGTTTCTATGTTATATTGCCTTAGTAGACGTTTTTAAAAACAATCATGCTAAGTTTCGGCTTTTGCTTTAGAATTAGGTTGGATTTAGAAACAAATAACCAATTTTAAGGTAGTAAATCTAAACATAGTATCCGAATCCTTGAAATTCTTTGATGTTGTGTCGGTCTCTTGAATTATTAGTCACAGAAACATCTTTAACAATCAGAGACAGAAATATCATGTGCAAAAAACACTTACAGCACTATCAACTGAAATCTTATAAATCACAACGAAAAAAGGAGAAGTAGACTATCACAAAACGGTTAGTGAATTCTACTATACAAATATAAGTTTGATATGACCGCAAAGTGAGTAGTAACAAGGAAATAGGAAATCATAAATAGTGACATTTTAAGGCTGTATAACTGGGCGAAATTTATTCAAGGCAGAATATAAGTGACTTCAAAATAATTATAGTATTTATTAGTGTCGTTTATCTTTTGTGTTCCGAGTGGGATACTGGGCTTCAGTAGTACGTCTTCAACTCAGTGGACTCTGTAATATCAGTTTAAGCTGGCTAACTTTACAACTGCCTACAAGCTTTCGTTTCCTCTTCACGTGACCTCAATTTCAACCCTGGATATTCAACCTTTCGCTTCCCACTGGGATTCCATTTGAGGGCCTGACGTGTAATATCACTTGAATTTTTCTCCAGCGTATGTTCAACCCATCTCCATCTCTTGCTATCTGACCTTCAGTATCAAGCCAGGGAAAGTGGCAGTTGTCGATAAAAGTTTGCAGTCTGTCGGAAATGCTTTTGGTGACGCGGGCGTCAAACATCCGAATCGCATAGAAGCACTGACTGATGTGTCATTAATGCTAAAAATACGGACATTTTTCGTTGTGATAGGTACTTTGTTTCTCCATACCGAATCTAAAGCAACGAACGCCTATATGTCTCTCTTTCCTAATCCGACCCATGGGTAGCTTTGACATCGTCATCCGTTCTGCCTGTAGTTGGGTTGATGTTGCTGAGGTATGTGAAAGAGACGACTTCCATTATTATTCCTCCCATTTGGTGATAACTGTTGCATCACTTCTGTCTTCTCTACGTCTACCTGAAATTCTGTCATTTCCGCGCTCTCCTGCCAACCATTCGGTTTTTGTTTGCAAATCTTCGAGTTTGCCTGACTTGATGCATAAACCATCGACGAAATTCAGATCTTTCAAGGTGTTTTTTGGTTGCAAAGTATATCCATCTTCTTCCTCCTCCACGGTCTGACTTACCATAATCAGCAACATTATCGATTATAATAAGCGGCCCTTTTGTGCTCCTACCTTCAATCCAAACACTTCACTGGCAATAACATGGAATACTGCAATATCATATAGCTGTTGAATGGGGTCTACAAATACTACAGACATCGCAATCCGCAGCTTTGAAATGGTGTCCGAATTATTTCGTGGCTGACTCTGTTGACTTTGTAAAGTCGATGAAGATGAATTCAGTGTTGAGTGTTGTTCTATACTGTGCCCAATGATGATGGTTGGTTTCCATTTGATCTGTGCACCATCAATGCAGCATGTTCCCGGCGAGATCTTTCATTCAGTATTTCCAGGTTGAGTAAGTAGGGCTTGATCCTTTTCTTTTTATCCCGCCATCATAATGTCAGTGATATATTTAAAATTATGAGTAAGTTGGCTTACAGTAATTCAAAGTCGGGAAACTGGAAGAAGAGCATCCAGCAATTACCTTTACTAAAAAGTACAGTGGCTCTATTACACTTTTGAATGTTCTAATAATCCAACTAGTCGATGGGATAATTAGTACAGTTAGGCACCAAAACACACGCCAATTACACAGCATACTCACTTTCCGGGTTTTTCTCCTCCCCTTAATATTAACTAAACTTGGTGAAGTGTTTATTTCGACGAGCACGATCTATCTTTCTGCATAATAAACTCCATAACGAACTCAGTAATAGTCTGGATCTATTCAACGGAAGTGAATTTCCAATGAAATCGTTGAAAAAACATGCATTTGGCAATCATCGAATCCAAGCTATCGAAAGACATCTAGTGAAATCGAATCTAAAAGGACTTCAGAAGGACTGTTAATGCAGACAACTTATGTAGCCTATGCTCCAGCTAACCGATACTCATTTTTCGAACCAAATAAAAACTTCCTAATTTGTCCCCTTCCATAGGCATTCACCATTCGAACTGTCCATGCAGAGCTAGTTACACGGAGCGTACTTCTGAGTAGCTCTACCTTCGAATTCCTACACACCACCCGTGATAACCATCTAAACAATTGACTACGGCGATAGATGGTGCTATACTAGTGTATCTCGTTGATTTAAGACATCCCACCGAAATTAACACAGCTTTTAAAGCCATCTATCTAACTTACTTCATGTCGTGCTCATCTGACTTTTACGTGTAAAACAGGCAACGAGAATCGACCTGAATAAGCCAAGTCCGTGTTCAAAATATATTTTCAAGTATTGGTTTTGTAGGGATTTTTGTTTCATTGCATGGTGAAATCCTACGTGCAATTCAAAATATATCCTTATATTTACAAATTAAAAGTAATGTTTTCTGATTAACTAACACGTCGTCATATAATTGGTATAATTTGGCTGTATTATATCGAAGAACTATATGCTAACGCAGAGATGTTGATGAGGAACTAATTACAAGAGAGTATATTTCCTCAGATATTTCGTTAGTTTCCAAACAAATTTTTTTAGGAAATAAACGCTTCACAGTTTAATTTGCCTCCACTTTGAAAATGGGTAGCAAGTGACAGATTAACTTTACTTCTCAAGATAGAAATTCCAACTTCAAATTTTTCATAGTAATAGATTGTAGAGTTTTGAGTGAACTTAAATTATATTCGTTACTTTTTGTTTCAGCAGAAGTAATCCTGAGTGAATAAGGGAAATGAAATGCTGACGGTATGTGGTCCTATGAAAAGTGGATTTTCAAAAGCAGATGATTTGAGTTATAAGTGACTATCTAAAAAATACCTAAGACTTATGTCGATCCTTGCCTAGACATGAAACAGCATTTTTGACTGCATGTTTGGAATTTCATTTTCGATAAATTTACTTTGTGTTTGCAATTATCTATTTGACTCCTCGCGAGTCCGTGATAGTTACATAAATGCAAACAGTTTCCCTGAAGGAATTATCTTGTGCAACACTTTTGTATTCCTTCGCACACCTTTCTATACATCTCGTGTTAAAGATAATTTTTAAGAGAAAGTGCATATCGTAAAAGTTAGCTACGATGAATTATTTTATCCTCATGCTACAAAACATTCTTAAAAATATGTGGAGTTGTGATTCAAGTGATGCTCTAGCAAATTAAATAGTGTGATTGACACCCAAACTTGACCATAATTTCGTAAACTACTCCTTAAATCCGGTTGTCATACACTTATTACACATTCTTACCTAGTGATATTTTTGCACTAAAATCTCAAATGTTTCGCCAGCGTATAGTTATTAAAACTATGGTTTATCTGAACTTCAGATTTGCTTGAAATGAAATATAGAATAGAGTTTGTAAACAAAACTATGGTTAAAAACATGTTATCTGCTAATAACTTACTGAAGTCTGTAGCAGAAATTTAGTAATTACTTTGGCCAACAATTTACATTTTGTACGTGAATGCTATAGTACACAGCTAAAATACTTCAGTTACCACCATATTCCCCGTATATTTGACAGAACTTCTGGATTACAATTTCTAGGGCTCTACAGGGTTTGGTGAAAGGAACGGAGTTATAGGCGTACAAATGCAGGGATCTCAAACACAACTACGGTGAGGTAACTACTTCATCTTTTGCTTTACCCACAAGTGACAAATAAATACTCAAGTGGTTAAATGAATAGTTGGCTAAGCATTAAATGTGTGTCACAAATAACAAGTCATAACACCTTGAACAGCATATGGCTTCGAGAAACAAAACAAAAAATTCGATCAAATTCGTAGCTAGTCCAATTCAAAAATAAATTCATGTCTTCATTTTGTTTGCGTTTACAGTGTAGCTTACCAGCAATAAGTTGATATATTTAACTCGTGCAAGTGCACTAAGTCTGTCTTATTTACCATCTTCATTTATTTCTTACCTTTTGTCCATAGACTAAAATATATGTCACTTCCGATTTCATCTTGTTTCTTATATCCACCTAAATCTAGATATAATTGAAAATATTATCACACAAAGAAAAATGTCCTGCAAATTACTTTGAAGTGAAAGCCAATCTTTAGTTTCTCCCTCTGAGAAGTGAGATAAGCCTTTCAAAAGTGAAATAATCAAGACGTTCAAAGGAAATAAACGTAACAAACGAATAGACACTGAAAAAACAGACCATTATTTGAAGACATCTGTCTACTATACAGGGATATTTCTGGAATTAGACTAAGGAATGTTTGGTTCTTTAAAACATCATGTGTGTGCTAAATTAATGAAAAGAAGTTATCTTTCTGTCTAAGGTGTATGATGCTGATATTTTGTATATGTTTTCATAGATGATTTCGCCAATCGTTAGAGATTAGGAGTATCCCAGTGTTAGTCATAAGATAGAAATATTTCTCATCAACACACCTATCTATTTAAACATCATGAGATTTCATGTTCTGGAAGTTTATGACATGCTCATAGAATATAATTTCTACACTGAAAATTATTATCAAACAGCCTTACATATATATGTACAGATTATAGAATAACATAACACCCTAATGAAACTACAACAATGTGATATCTAATTTGAGCTAACAAAAGAGATATCCTAACAACTGATTTGCCCATCAAAAACAAACACTCTATACACTGCGTTACGGTCAGCTAATACCCAGCTAGCATTTTCCTCGGGAGCACTGCAGACCTTCCGAGGCAAAAAACTTTGGGCGCATTGCCTTTCTTGAGCATCCGCCCCGAAGACTGCCCCAAAAAGTCTGCAATGCGCCCGAAGTCTGCCCCAATAAGTCTGCAATCAGATATATATCTGAATTTATCTGAGAATTTTCTGTACTTCTCACAAAAACATCATGCCCCGATAGTGGTAGAATGAGGCTTACCTACTGTTCTGAGGAGTTCTACTCTCCTTAGGTCGAATTTCTTCTTGTCGAAAGATATAATTTTTGAGTCTTCAATCACTTTGGAATCTTCATTGCCGCCATTTTCTTTACTCTTCTTATATAACAACAACATCCGTCGAACTTTAGACGCCATGAAGTGCATCATTTACAATTTTCGTGAATGAAAACGAAGTCCAGATTGCACTACGATCCATCAATCGAAAACTAAATTCTATGTTTGAAAAGACTTGTGACCATGAACGAAAACAAAGTGAGTGCTGCGAATTCAACATTCCAATATGCTGTAGACATTTATTTAAGGAAATAAGTTTCAGGCATATATCATACGCTTAGAACATTTGATTTGTTAGTTCAGTCGTATTACAAACAAAAACTGTGGTCTTCATTGATACCAATTCCAGAATACATTAAGCAGCGTTTAGAAAAGGTTTTGCTGCCTGTATGCCTGTAGCTTTTGGATAATGCCCTGTGATACTACCTTTATTCAATTCGTGAGTGTTTAAAATGAGAGGGTTGGTATTGCGCTTTACATCTGTGTGCCACATGTGTATGGCCGCACACTTCGTCAAGCTGATGAGAGCATCCATTCTTTATACTTATCTAACAGATTGTTCAGAAGAGTTTGCAAAGTATGTTGCTGTAATCCTAAAAGTGAGTTGAGTAGATAAAAACGGGGCATTTGGTGAGCCCTGGTAATCTGTTGATATACAGAACAAATAATAGAATCCCCTAACACATTTGACTTTTTCCTAGAAAAGGGATTTGATTTGACCATCTTATTGGTCCACTACCTTCGAGGAATTTCGCTGTTCATCTTAGCATTAATCCCGTGATTCAAACACTTGCCAACTTCATACACAACCACTTCGTCTGGATTTTTATTGAAATTCATGAAATTAAAGTCAATAAACTTCTTGCTATCTTGGAGCTTGAACAAGCCTTCCCTCAGTGTGGGAAGATCTGCCAATCACGAGAGATTTCCCGGGAAACCATGCTCTGCTCTAGATAAAAACTTGTTATTTTACAAATAAACCAAAATAACTTTCCTTATCATTCATTTCAGTATCTTTTTCAAGATACTTGCAATACTAATACTCTTGCGTTTTGCTGGAAAGTGCCTGGATCATCTTTAGAAGATGATAGTTGCTGTTGCATACTTCCTGTTACCTGGTGGAAGGCCATGAAGGAGATATAGCCTGAAGACATTGGTCAGTGAGCCTGCTATGTGGGCTGTCATCTACTTGAGGGGCCTTGGACAAAGATCATCAGATCTTACTGATTTCCTCGTATCTAGTCTGCTTAGGGATTGGGATATTATGCTTTGGTGAATTCCAGGATAAATAATCCGGTTTTGTTGTGGCATGCCTGGGTTTGAAAATATGGTACTTGACAGCTTCTCAGTGGAGACTCCGAATACGTAACGTTCTATTGCTTCAGCATCTTCCTGGAACTTTTTGAATATTTTCATGTTACTAATGTTAGCGGTCGTTTATCCTTCGCGTTCACGTATAAAAATAGTATCTCGAGGTGTGGCATTGGGTTTTGAGCTAGGTGCATTTTGAATTTCACCTGCATATGATGAACTCCTCCAGTGTATTTCCTTATATCCGCAGTGTACAGATTCCAGGTTTCGGTCCCGTGGATGTTCAAAAAACTTCAACGTTTAAATTCACGCTCCAGAACACTATGAGCTTCCCCGTTTGCGCATGGGACCTTCTTGAGTCTTGAGAAAATTTCATGGAATGTAGGATTGGATTACACCAGCGTATACTTGTGTGAACTGATTCCATGCACCTTCCAGCTACCAAACTTGAACGCCAGTTCACTAACGAAGCTGAGGAATTCACTGCATTTACACTAGCATTCTAGGGATTCGGTAGATTTGGGCTTTCAGTTCGGGATATGGCATTATATGAGGATTGGGAGGCGGGTACAGCGTGGTCGTTTCTCTCTAGGGGCAGACAATTTCTCATGGGGCTAGCATGATGAAAACTAAGTTCGGTAATATCGACAGTCACAATTCCTGTTCATTTATTCAGCCTAAGTTAGAGCTTCCATGTTCCATTCACAGAGATCCACTACACGGAAATCTCTAGCTTTTCCCAACATTTCACTGCTATTCTCTTAGTTATAGTTCATTATGCTGTATTTTGATACGGTCCGTAATATGATGGACCATCTTTGTTAGCCCCACGTCATTGATACATGTGCCAAGAAAATAAACTGATGTACAAATGACAGTTGTTTAATTTTGGGATATGAATCAAATATTGATCCGCCCTTTAAATTTCTTTGATTTGCAAAGAGTATAATTATATTCTGAAAAATTTCAGATTGCTGTGGAGAATTTTGTGACTGAATCTGACTTCTGTGTCTATCTCATTTTTGAGGACATTTCCAGGTGATCGGTTGTTAGTGGTTTTGTGTCTGGAGGCACACAGCAGTTAAGAGAAAAGACACTCCATTATAACAGTCTGAAGGACTTCAATATTCAAAAATGTAAACATTGAGTCTCTTTAGATTATCATAATCACTAAAAATTGAAACTTTTTTTGGTTTTTGAGCTTACTGTGACTTTAAGAAGGCTTGTTGCAAAGTCAGACTTTGATCTGTCCTAAACGTACTATGTATGGTTATTACGGCTACTGACTTAGTGAGCAGCTTACCAAAAACTGGTTTGGCTGGGTCATGCTCGAGCATGACTATGAATAGTGTCTCTGTTCATCCTTCAACAATGTAGAAAATAACCGTTTACCACAGCTGCTATGTTTTACTGTGGGAAACATTATCTTCCATTATTCTCAGGGCGATACGTCCTGTGTAGGTGCTTTGTCTCCCTTTTCTCAAGAGACTACGCCATGCCATTCATTGGACCTATACACTTCGTCTGACTCTGTTGGTGGCTGATTGCTATCCACTTGAGTTAAAAATTGTGGCGGCGTCCCGTACATGTTGATGGAACTTAGTAAGCTTTTTTTCTCTCGACAGAGATCAAGAATACCGTAGCAGAGTATTTCTAGTAGTATTGCAATAAGGCCATTGCCGGGCTTTTCAGTCATGTCATCAGCTCCCTGGTGTGAGTCTCCCGCTAACCTGAGATTTGAAATTTTGCTTATGTGACAGTATACCGTGTACGACATTCTGACATTCACACCGTGTATCTATTTTTGTCTGCATAGTCCCTTGATATTTAACTAGAAAGACACAACATCTTCTAAAAATTGTTTTCACACACTGTTAGACCATCAAAGGACTAGATTTCTATAGCAGTTTTATCCCACAACATTTGGGACAAAATAACATACTGAGAATTAGCAGCCAATCAGATGAAGTTCAAGATAATTAGGATGGCAAGTGTAACGTGGAATATTTTAAATTAAAAAACTAAATTCGTATTTCTATACTGTTTCATATTTGGGTCAATTGGACGTTTCATGGTTCATTGGACTGTTTCACATCTTCATTTACTGCGAACCATTTCGTGTCCAGTTATTGTATTATTACTATCTGGATGCCCGATAACCTTAAATTTAAGTGCTTGTGCAATGTTGATCCGATACATTTTTCCCTATTAGTTTGTTTATTAGATGTTTCACACAGTGAAGCAGTATTGTCTACTGGATGACGTTTCAAACAAAATTTATTGTTCATAATCACATCAATTATAATCACACGACTTCGAAACTTGAGTTCTTAAAGAAAACCGGTCTTGTCGTGACTCTGTACTATAGAGCGAAGAGAATATGCCCTATGGAGAGGTTAGAGGAAAAATTTGAGTTTCTAGTAAAGATACTGAAGAGCAGTGGGTACCCTCAAATGTTCATCAACAAGTATGGAAGATCTGAAGTCATAAATGTGAAACAAATCACAGTAGGAAAAAAGCCAATCTACTTTCAGCTTGATTTTAAAGGTGAAAACACTGCAGCGATGATCAATAGGAGGCTGATCACATCACTAGCCATAGCCTGTCCTGCAGCTAAGCCCGTTCCTGTCTATCGAACAACTTACTATTTAATGCAATCAAAAATCAATAGATATCCTTCTCGTGTTAACTCCAACTGTATACACAAATTTGCATGTATCTGCGGTAGCAGTTGCATTGGAAGAACAGAAAGAAGGACATATCTACGATTTTCTGAACATGTACCAAAAAGCTTGCTTCTAAAAGAAACAAATGCTTTAAACAAAGCCGTTACCGGGCATCTCCTCGACCCAGGTCGTGAGGTGGATGTCGAAAAGTCGTTCAAAATTATCAATAAGCAAAAGAGCTCAATTCTCCTTAAGTTTGCTGAAGCCATTTCCATCAAGCGCCTGAAACCTGATTTATGCATTCGGAAGGAAGCTGTTATCAGTCTTTCTTTACCCTGGTAACTGGATATTTTTTATCCGAATGCGAAATGCTGAAAAGTTTTCATTGTGCATGATCGGAATAGTGTTCAATAGTGCATATATATGTATATATTATAAGTGTATGCGTATTCTGATCGATTGATTTTTATTTAAAATGAACTCTGTGCAAGTAAGTTAAAATTGCTTTTGTAGATACATTAAATAATATCTTTGTCCTGTAAGCAGCTGAAGAAACAGGCAACGAAACAAAAGATGGTACCATTTTATTCTGCTAAAACGGTAGTTCTTGCTTTGTTCAGATTTGGATTTGTTCAAGTTAGTTTCTTCAGAGCTCCATTCATGCAGCGGCTGTCACAACAAGATTCAACTTTTTTTCAGCCCGCAAACTTCGTGAGATTTAGTAGAAAGGATCTATTTATGGTTATACTTTTTGAAGTATAGGTTTTTGTGGAGATCCACATCCTCCTCGAAAACGTCCGCCAAACAAGTGAACACCCCTAGTTTCGCTGGTGATCCAAAGTCATTAACATCTGTATGTGGGGACACAAATCTCATCTTCAGAATCTTTAAAAGCCAGTTACAACTCAATTTCAGAAATATCTCCGATGAGATGGAAGTTTCGTATCTTCTCAAATTAATAATTGACAAGAAATCAAGTGAACTGGTATTCCTGGTGTGATCTTGTATGTTTTATCTCTGACAGCTGCGTTTACAACAATTGGATGATTTTGCCAGGCATTGCTTAACTGGGAACACACTCTGGAAGGATATAAAGAGTTACATTCACACAAGAGCAAAAAACATGTCGATCAGTAATTAAGGCTAATGGCTAAGAGAAGTAAGCCTTACTTTAAAAAGGAGAAAATAAATTGACAGACTAGATATCGGTCTCCATTCTGAAATACAACAGAAGAGATCAACATCTTAATCATCACTTACGATTTTTGAGGGCGTTTCATAATTGTGATAGTTTATTCACATAAATTGAGTAGTGACATAATTAACATGCAGTTTTCAATGGCTCGAACATACCTGATACGATTACACGGTAATTTCTTTGTATATTTCAATTTATTACAGTTTGTTGATATAGAGGCATCAACTAATTCCACTTTATTATATGTCCACTACCGCTTGTCAAGTA